GTGGAGGAGGACGATGACAACGAGGACGGTTCGCGGGACGCGTAAGAGAGACATGCGTGTCGCGCGTATGACGTGGCGTGTGTGCGGAAGTATATTGATCAGCTGATGGTCGGGTGGATACTGGGCTGGCTTCGCAGAATTCACCATATTGTTGCGTCAGCGCGCCTGCGCCGCAGTGGCCCTCTCGTCCCTTCGTTTCTCCCTTTTCGTTCTCCCCGTCCGCTTCGACCCCTCGCTGCCTCCATCCCCTAACGACTCCCCGACTCTCCCTCATCACCAACCTCCATTGTTCAATGAAAAATGTCAAGAGGTGGAGGAGGGGCCCACGAGAGCCGCCGGAATAAAGTAAATTCGCGATTTCGAAACCGCGAACCACGGGCCGGTCAACAACGCGGAATTATGGATCATGGACGCTCCGTAATTTTCCGCGACCAGGAGGTCCTGAGCCACTTTCATTTTTCCTTTTTCGTGTCGTTGACGAAACTTCTAGATTCTCGTTCGTTCGTGTACATGCCCTGTTTTTTTGGAAACGAAAGATTTTTCCTGCTTCTCTTGCGGAAATTCAAGGTACAGTGACTCGGAAATTTGTTCGTAAAAGACTGTGAAAAATTAACCGTTTTAATACCTTAGATAGTATCGGCTTCACATTTTTAATACCAGCTAAACACATGTAATGACACTAGTTTTATCAAATCGGTCTATATGGTGGAACATTACTGGATAGGAATAATAAATTTAAAGGAAACGTCAAAATATCTTCATATGTTAATTTTAATCGTGTAATTCAATGGGCCTGGTCATCGGTAATAACCTGACAACCATGGCAGTCAACGTGCTAAACAGGAGGATCGTCCACTAATAGTTTCCCTACTGTTCTGGCCAAGGCATAAGGTTGGTAACGCGAAGAAGTGTCCAAATTCCCGGGACGGTACAGCTTGACTGAATTCTAGTCGAATGAAAATTTCACAAGCCTCTCTGTCGGCTGACGTTCGACAAACCGACCGTCCGGTAATTTCTGTCCTCTAACGAAAAAGTTAAACAGCTCCCTCCTCCCCCCGTTTGCTACAGCTAATTAACAAAATGGACCAGTATCCAGAATGGAATTGGAGGTAGTCGTGCGACCCGTTACAATTTTCCTCTGTAACTGGAACCAGTTTTTGGAGTGGCATAAAGCTCTGTACCTCACCCCCCCCCCTCCCCACGAGAGTGGATCGGTGGTTGGATCACGGTGCGTGACTGTGAATCCTAGACGGTCGTAACACAACCATGAAATAACAGCACGATGGATCCCTATTCTCCGTCTGTTTTACGAGCGCGTTTCTCCGGCTCCGCTTCGTTGCGAGCGTAGTTTCCCTCGAATCTTGTGCATATATCTGGACCCCAGAGCCGGAGCGTATTAAGTCACACTTTTCGAACTTCCGAGGAGAGCAAATCAAAGGATGGAGAAACCTTGTAACTTTGCAAACACCATTTAGGAAGAATTCAACGATAAACGATCGCTACTCTTCGACCTATCGAATGGACTTGAGTCTCGATATGTGGAAATTGTGAACAATGACATTTTGTCCCCTATGTGATGGACTTTACATTGTTTGGCTCGGAACAAGATACGAATTTAATATTATTTTTACAGTATTATATGTACTGGAATATTAAACGACTGGGAACGAAATCATTTTTACCATCGGAAAGAGTGAAAGATTTGATACTAGTCGAAAAGTTCGATTTGCGAACAGAAATGTGAGATCGAAACGAGGAAATTCAGGATTTCGGGGCCTCGTTCGCCGAAAAATATTCAACGGTGCCGCGGGTACAAATCCCAGCGATCAAAGAACCTCGTTAACGGACAAACGTATGCGGTCGTGCCGAGAGCTTCGTTACATATTCGGAATCCGCGGATCGGAAACTGTGTTAACTATCCGGTGTGTTTTCCTTTCGTATGCAGATCGCGATGGCCGGAGTCGCTTCGTTACGAGACGTGGTACCTCGATGTGCGAAACGTGGCGAAAATAATTGGAACAGACTTTTTTTCTCGAAGTAACAGTAGAAACAAAAAAGAAGATAAAGATGATCAGAGACACTGACTTAAATCGTCTATTGGTGTTTCTACGTGAAATAATAGATTAAACTGTAGAACATACTTTATTCCTGTCTGGTTTCGTTTTCGAGAGAATCAAGACTGAACTTTGGCCAGGAAAATCTACCTATTTCATCGTGTAACATATACTTTCTATCATTATTAACCCTTTACGGTCGTAGGTCTGCTCTCAGCCACCATAGGGAAAAACCAATTTGACTTTGCGCAGTTTCTCTTTGCTTCGTCCTAACGAAAATAAATAAATACGATCGAAAAACAATAAAACGAAACATGAAACCACTGTTCGAGTAGAAACGTAACAAATTTCATATTTATTACCATGCATTCGTCCATCTGGAATGTACCTACCTACATACATACATATGTATACCATCAAAGGTACAGTTTGGAGCATTGGTCCGTCAGTACCACGCGATTACACTGTTACCGTTCTATCACACTTGATCTCGTATGTCCCATTCGCCCTCTTAGTCACGAACGAATTTTATTGGGGGGCTTCTTGTGAGCTCCAAGTATACATAACGATGTTAGAGAGTATTCAACATAAATTATTACGCTTCGTATCTTACAAACTAGGAAAATCAATCTACAGAACCTGCCATAACTAGGAGCCAGTTCTGAGCCATCTAGGGATGATCTAGTTTGAACAGCATCCTACCGCTGCAGACACAATTTATATTTATAAAATAGTAAACGGACTTATTACATGTATGCTCAAATCTACTAAAACTAAAAAAACTCAGGCATAATAATCTGTTCCATATAAACCATCATCATACCATGTCTGGACTGGATCAATTAATTTGTTCACCCAATATTTGTTACCAAACGATGTAGACCCGTAGATAAATTATTATTAAATTATATTATTAGTGCTCGTTCAGTGACAATTAATTCGAACCATCTCAGCGTTCATGTTTGACAACTAAACATGACTGGGCAAAGGATTAATTCGCAATCAAACACAGTGCATTCTACAAGACATCTCGTTCGAATTCGTATTCAGTAACGGTTTACGGATCGCATAACAAGTAACTTCGCCGTAGGGATCGTGAAACCGAAAGAAATCCTGTAAATCGATCCCGAATGAATATGGAAAACCAGCGAATCAACGCGAGACCGCGGATCGAACGATCAAACAGACACGAAGAAGGAAACGACACGGAGAGGAGGAAAAGACTATTCTCGTCGGGCGCGGTTTAAAAGATGCAAAACTTGCAAACGAACTTTCTAACCGTTCCCATTCATCCGCCGCTACCGTGAGAATACGTTTATTTCGAGGAGCAACGAACAACGCGCGGTGAGAGGAGAGACGTAGACACGTTATCTTTACGTGATCGACGTACCAGCGTTTCGCAAACGCACGACTGCTTTCGCGTGTCGGCCGCGGAAACCCCGGAAAAGGAGAAAAATGTGAAAACCGTGATGAAACATTACTGGGCAAAGTCTCTGAATACGGTGATGGTGGTGTTGCATTTCGACCGGTTTCGGAAATTCCCCTTCCAGGTGGATTCATGCACACATTCATCCCCCAGATTCGATTTAACTGTTCTTTCGTTTTTTTCAACCGAGACGATCGTCGATTTCTGTTTGACTTTCAATTTCGATAAATTGATCCATAAAAATGTGTACCTGGGTGTCCCACCCGTAAGTAACGCCATCAAATTTCAGCACTTTCTGAACTTCTGACATTCATGAACTATGCATATTGAGGAGTGCATAACTTTCGTGAATCAAAATTTTTTCTCGACACTGTTCTCGGAGAAATGTATCTTTAAATGAAATTATAGTATTTCTTGAATGTTTTCCATTTGAAACCAATTGTGACAGATCCAACTACTCTGCATATGTTACACGGTTCAACTTTTGTCCCAGTCCGAAAATTCTGTGGTGACACTTAGAGAAATAGTAACACAATTAAATTATAATTTAACTTGTAGAGCAAGAATTGCAAGGGGAACAACTTTGAAAAACATTTCATCATAATGAACTTATTATACGGTGAGTATATGTGTACTGAACTGATCAAGAATTGGGTTTCGATCGGGAACTGGGTCCGTGACGGTAACAGCGATTCGGGGACCATGATTGTTCGAAGAAGAAAAGAGGTTGGAAGCCCCTGGCCCCCCTCGGAACAATGAAGATGTTAATCGTCCTTATCGAGGGATCTCGCTATGAATGGAGGAGAGTGCGAAACCGGTGTGTAATTAACAATTAAACGGATAACTCTCCGGGCATCGTTGCAACTTCGCGCTCATTTGCAATCCGCGAAGGACCTCGGGACCAGAGTCTTTCGTACGTCCGTTTTTCAAAGAGGAGCTTAATTAGCGACTGTGCGCTGGAGATACCGTCTAAGAATTCCTCTCTCATCTCCTTCACAAATGAACCGATTGTATTCCTCCGTAACGTTTCCAAACGGAACGCACAATCGCTTCGCGATCTACAGTTTGTTCAACGAGACCAGTCAGTACGAATAACCAACAAAAAAAAAACATTTATCGTGCTAAGCCCACTTATTGGCTAGCAACTTGCAGGGACAGCCATGTGGTCCCACCTAAATGGTCATCGCTAGACTGCGAATGTTTATCCATTTATAACACCCTGCGACTTAGAAAATATAAAAAATAAAGGTTTCAATGAACTGTAATGCTAGCCACGTCCTATTATTAATGTAGTAAAGGCTCTGGTACAGAATGAAAAATTCTATTCCGTTTTAATTTTCAAGTATCAGTATTTGAACTCGTGAATTCGCATAAAGCTTCCGCAGTCTAGACTCACCACCTCCCTGTGTGTTATAGTTACTGACTCGACTCGTTGAATCGAGTATGTATACAGTTTCGAGTCGACCTGCGTTTTTCAATGGCCCGACAAAAGACACGTACAAGAAAAAAAGCAGACTCACCTTCGGAGCTACCAGCTATCTTCCCAGTCGTGACGACCTCCCAGTGATTGAAAGTTTCCTGTAACAAGCAAACGAGACAAATTATGCATACACACCAAATGAACAGAACACGAGTGTCTGAATTTAGGGGATATTGGAAACTGGCACACGTCTTAGAAACCCGCATGCGACAACCAAGGGAACCCGTTAAACGGCCTAAAGACAAGTCCAGATACGTGCAACAGCGAACACGACCACGCGCAGCCAAATTCCCGTGTAACTCTGGCCTTTCTTGCGCGTAGACCCATGAAGATCGACCCTCTCAAGAATATTCTGCAACGCGTCGTTGTTCGCGACCGTGGTCAGGCAGGGCACACGCGAGCAACGCGCATTGCAGAACACTCTTGCCTGAAAGACGTGACTACGTTACGTCGGGGAAAAGAGACTAATGGCTCTGGCACACGTTGTGCGTTCGTCGTCAAGCTCGTAAGTCGCGTGTGCGTTGGCATTCAGCAGTAATTCGATAACGGGAGAGACGGTCGATGAGTTAGGTAACGTTCCGACAACTACCATTTCGGCGGAGGGAATGCGTACAAAACGTGAGGACAGACAGACACACGTGCAGAGACGCCGTCGTTTTTCGTCGTGTCGAGGGGTGCTGCCTGGTTCTTGGCGCCAAAATAGCAACGACGCGTCTAGAGGGACGGTGAGGGGTGCTACGATAATGAAATAACTTAATTTTCCCATCGGCTTTCTCCCCTCCATGGTAGGGACACCTCGCGTGTGCTCGTCGAAAAACGACGATGAATAGTTAATCAGAGCCGACTTCCGGCGCGGACGTTTTCGAATTACATAATACCACCACCATCACCACGACCACTACCACTACCACTACCACCACCTTAACGCGTCTTCTTCTGACGTTTTTCGATGGTTGGTCGACGGTTGCGTTCCTCTGGTCGACGGAAAAACCTACGAGTCGGAAGCAGCGAGACGGATAACCGTAGGAGAAGATCGATTTAGGTGATTGGATCGCGAGGAATCTTGTGTGTACCTTCCTCGAGAATCGGAAGGAAGCTAGGGAAAACTTCGTTATCTGGTTTCCCTCGGTGGAAACACGATCGTCGGTGCGACATCATTTCCACTTGTATTTATATGCATCTGTATATACATATATACATATACACACAATATTACAAATAATTTGGTACAACCATCTTAACGCTCTCCTTAAATCGTGTTATATTAGCAGAAAAAACTGTTCGATCACAATAATCTAAACTGATCACGTTTCGCGGTTCACCCTGTATATGTACTTATTTTAATTACTTAACGTCTACCAGACACTATACACTGATGATTCACAATCTAACCTACTACCAAGCGAATTGACTTGAACTAAATAGACACGGTGAACGGGGGGGGAAACAGCGCACGACACAAAAAGACGGGAAAACGAGAGCTGAACGCGTTGATCGATTGAACTTAAACCCGTGTGTTCAATCGGCTACCGATAAACCGTGTCCGTCGCGTGATCAGATTGTTACAAGCTAAATAAAACAATTACTTGGAGAAAAAAGAAAAAGGGAGTGCAGGTAGTCTCCGACGTGTTTAAAAGACACATCCAATGTGAAACCCTAAGTAGAGAAACTATTATATATCCAACCAACCCCAGAAGAGAGAGTTCGTTCTCCGAGCAAGCATGCCCCGTGCACAAAAGGGATCCCCTGACGTTCCATTGCCCACCCCCGACGAGAAAAGAAAAGCTCTCCCCGGGGTAGCCGTCGTTCTCGGTGTATCCAGTCCACGAGCCGCGAAATTAGACGATGCGAGGAATTCGTCAGAGAGGCTGAAGAAGGATTCCAACACTACTCTAGAGGTTGGCGGCGGGCTACGTCGGAGATGCAGGGGGAACAGAGACGTGGCCATGGTACACGGAACAATGGGGCTGGGAGCAACAATGAGGATCTTTGGAAACAAAGCTGTGTAGGGAAGACCGTGGCTGAATCCTAGAGTGCTGTGTGCAGACTGACTGTAGTCCCCGAAAAGTCGAATGGAACGACTGGACCAAGAGAGAGATCTGGGCCCTGGTTTGGGTCAAAGCGAGGATGGAGTAGTTCGCGGAGTGCAGATCTACGGAAACACACGACGACTAAGCGTCCGCCTGGTGCAACTGGTTAGAGAGGCTTAAGAGAAATATCCTTACACCAGAGGACAAACCGGGGAGAGTTTAGACAGAGTAGAATCCAAATCCAATGTCGACGATGGGAGAGAAGAGGACACACATCCGGCGATCCAACTTCTTCCGCTTCGCCGGTTCGGCCCGCGGGACACGAAGACGACGACGATGTGCTGTGTGTCCGCTCGATGCCTCGACGTCCGTTTGTGGGTCTCGGCGGCCTCGAACTGGCCTCTTATCCCCGGTATCGCCCAATCAAAAAACTGGCAGCACACCGTACGCCGATTGGTCGGGGGTAGCGGCCACCGTGAACACTGCAATTGGTCAATCGGGCCCGAGTCACCCATGGTTACCGTTTGCATCAACAACATCTACGGTCGATATCACCACCTTGGGCTACCTTGTGTGATATAAGCCTCCTACCCCACACAGACACACGCGCACACACGTGCCTCCCTCCACCCCACCTCTTTCCTCAACGCAGCACACGCCGCGATTAGCGGCTATAACCTCCAGCCGGAATTCTCGAGGGCAAACGCTTCTTCCGTTCCTCCACCACCAACGGTACTACCACCACCACCACCACCAGCACCAGCAACCCCCCTCGAGAGACCTACCCCCCTCCCGATCAAGGGACACCACCCCCGTGTGTGTCCTCGTTCGACCTACCTTCTGTGGCTGCTGCTCTTTTGGGCACCGGAAATCCGGTTTAGTTTGACTTTTCGGGGGTGTCTTGTGGATCGGACCTTGTGTAAACAGGAGACATAGGTTGAGATACATATTTGCTAACAATGCCCCAGCATCCCTGAGACGCCAGGTCCCGTGGGGAGTTGGAATGGTCGAAGGGGACCACGGGGAACGGCTCGCGAATGGACTGTAAATGTTGAGGGTACAGCGAAGAAAGGATTGCTTTGCTCAGGGAAGACGCCCATTCTGATCTTGCAGAACTGGGAATCCAGTGTAACCTCAAGAGGATCTTAGTGTTGCTTTGATTCGGTTTCCCCGTATGAACAAAGAAATATCGTGTGAATTAACTACACAGGGCTGTATTAATATTGTGAAATATACAACTACTGTCTATTAAAAGATATTGGAAACTGTTGTTCTACTGAAAAATCGACAACATCGAATGCTATGGTAGAAACGTGCATCCCTCTGGCAGAGAACGTTACCGCAAACGTGAATAAAATAGAAAAACCGCGGAGAGCAGTACCCTAAGATGGATGGACATCGGACAGGCGCTTCGATATTCGCTCGTGATCGCGTGATAAATTATCTCACGACGATGGTGTGGTCGGACTGAATCCATGACCATGAACCAATACATGAACGATCTATAAAGTAAGTCCTGGGCTATTCTCGACTCCTCCAAATGATCTTACCCTGCGTATATCGAATTCCTCGCGAATCCCGATGGCTGAAATTGTCGAAAATCCACGGGGACCATTTGTCAGGGTAACCACGATCGAATGCATTCATTCTGTGCCTCCTTGATATCCTCCGCGAAATCAACACCCTGAACGGAGTCGTATCCGTGTTCGATGGACGCATTATCCGCGTTCGTTTCGCCGTAAGTTCCGATGTTTGATTGTCTGCTCTTATCGATCGATATCATCCGCGATAATTAAGAATACCCGATAAAATCGAGTTTCCGAGTGTGGAAGCATGGAAGAAAACATGCCGATAACTATTCACAATATTCCTTTACCGTATAATATGACGTACACGCGTATGAAGTATTGGGAAACAAAAGTAAAAGTACAGTGGTTTCAGGTACACGATTACAATGGGTTCAAAAAGTGGAAACCTTGTGTATAAAAAAAAAAAAATATGATTTATTAGGTGGATCAATTGATAATCCACTATTTTTTGTTTGCGAAACTCGGTATTCTTAAACATATAGGTACCTTATTTTAATAGTATTCGTTATTTGATCCCACTAGCGTCCGTCATTTTAACCGAACAGAAGACTGAGAAGATAATCTGAATCTAAAACATATTGTCACCATATAGGGAACTGTAGGGAATTACTTATCGATACACCTAATACTTGGTAATATTACAGTATTAACTCTTTCGTTCCCATTGTTGCCATATAGCTACGTATTCTAAATTACGAAATAAAATATTAGTATCGTGTATTTTTTTATATCTGTGAGTATACAATAGTTTCTTGTATCCTTATATCATTATATGTTGAGCTTGAATCATTTATATGCTATTCTAATATACCGACAGAAAAATACAACAAAATATTTCTTTGGTAATGTTTAGATAATTTGGGAATAAAAGGGTTAGTTGTTAAACGTACCGCAGTTTCAATTTTCGAGCTCGATTGAAAAGTTACGCAACTAAGTTACTCCACTCCGGTTGCTGTCGGTGGGACTCATCAGTTGTTAACGGAGGGGGCAGGGGAATTCTTATTTCGTTCGAATTTGTGTATTCGCGAGCGTCGACACGGTGCTCCGGGCATACACACAGCCCCAACATTGAAATCTCCGCCGCAAGTTCCATTTGCACAGCTCAAATTTGCCTCGGCGATTGAATTCCCAATTATGAGAGAATGAGATTCCAATTACCAATGAGCGGAGGCGCGGAGATTCAATATCGCGATGAAACAGTACTCTCTATCTCCGTCCCTCCCTCGGGCCACCATCGCCACTAATTTCAGCATTGGAAAACAACATAGACACGACCGTGACCGTTTCCCCCAGCGTAGAAAGGAAACACAACACTCTTCTGGTTCAGTGGATCGTTTCGACGAGAATTCTTCGCTGTAAATCGTAAAATTCCGGTTACCGTTTCCCCACCGCAGCATCCAAGAGGAACGATTTTGTTGGTTGGGAAGAGGGCAGAACCGATCATGGGAAGGAATCGCGGAAGCGAACCGCCAAGGGACA